TTCCCTGCTAAGTTTTTCCTCAGTAATGGAATCCTCTACAAGTGCAACAACGATTCTACTTTGCTTCGGTGTGTTGGCAAGTGTGAAGCAGAGAATATTATCGCAGATATGCACGAAGGTACCTTTGGAACCCATTCTAGTGGGCACATAATGGCTAAGAAGATTATGAGGACAGGGTACTACTGGTCCACTATGGAAGCAGACTGTTATCAGCATTCCCGAACTTGTCACAAATGCCAGATCTATGCTGATAGAGTACATGTGCCTCAGGTTCCCTTGAATGTCTTAATTGCTCCCTGGCCTTTCGTAATGTGGGGCATTGATATAATCAGAGAGATTATACCTACCACTTCTAATGGGCACCGCTTCATCCTGGTTGCCATTTATTACTTCATAAAGTGGGTAGAGGCATCCTCATTTGCTTCTGTTACCAAGAACGTCGTTGCCCGGTTCATCAGACCTAACCTTATCTATCGGTATAGTACTCTAGAAAGAATCATCACATATAATGGTACCAATCTCAATAATACTATGATCACTGAGCTCTGTATACAATTCAAGATTCAACATCATAATTCTTCTCCTTAACAACCAAAGAAGAATGGAGCCGTGGAGGCCGCCAATAAATACATCAAGAAGATCATACCGAAGATGAAGGTGACATACAAAGACTGGAACGAGATGTTAGCATTTTCTCTTCATGGTTATTTTACCTTAGTTCACACGCCAACAGGGGAAACTCCTTTCTCTTAGGTATACAGTATAGAAGTTGTCCGACCCACCGAATTTTATATCCCTTCTATAAGAATCATGAAGGATGCGGGTTTGAATGAAGACGATTGGATTCAAACTCAACTTGATCAATTGAACCTGATTAACGAGAAAAGGCTCGCGGCTGTCTGTCATGGTCAGATGTACCAGAAACATATGATCAAAGCTTTTAACAAAAAGGTCAGACATCAGTAATATCAAGTTGGCGACCTAGTAATCAAGCGCATTATCCTACCACAAAGTGATCCCAGAGACAAATGGACTCCAACATACGAAGGACCATTTATGATCAAAAACATATTTTCTGGTGGAGCCATGATATTAACCACTATTGACGGTGACGACCTTCCACATCCTGTAAACACAGATATAGTTAAAAGATACTACGCATAAACAAAGACCCGCTAGGTTGATTAGCCTAGGAAAAAATAAGGGCATGTCGACGAACCAAAAGGGTTCGGGAAAAAGTTAGGGATATTGATATATATATATATATATATATATATATATATATATATATATATATATATATATATATATATATATATATATATATATATATATGAAAAAAATCTATACATTTCGTAAGTCGAAAACTTGAAAAGGAGGCTTGGGAAAAAATGGTATCCTAGTGGACTGAAAACCCGAAAGGGCGGTCCAGGAAAAATTTAGGGATTAAAAGCGTACAACTATGTCCCATTGGATCACCCCGCAGATAGACTTCAATATCAAGTGTCAAATTCAAATGGTACTAATCAATCCAGTCAGCTTCGGTCAATCAGCAAAGTGATGAGACGCTCAAAGATATAAAGGAAATAGCAGAATAGGAATCCAATGGGATCATTTCATATAGATGTTTTTTTTCTTTGTATACTGCTTTGTATAATTTTCATTTTTACGACGAAATTCTCTTACTAGGATGTCTGTCTCCTTGTACAAAAATGCCTGTTATAGGCAGACTTCTTCAGATTAATACAAAAACTACCTCTTTGAAAGTGCATAAACTATTTGTTTTATTTTCCTATTTTGTTTTTCAAAAAATGTCCAGTGTTTATTTTTAACGTATGCATTTGAATATAATCACCGTTTACAAATACACGCATAAAAAACAGAAATACAAGTATTAATGGCTTTAAGAAATGAAACAATGTCTAAAAAAGCCATCTGCAAATCCCCAAGCAGTTTACGGAGTTTTCTTTCCCCAGTAGAGTTTATTTCTCTAGCCATAGAAGTCCATCTCCCAACAATTCAATTTCAAAAAATAACGAAGAATCACATTCTTCATCCCCAGCTGAGTTGGTCTTAAAAAAAGGGGGGAACCGCGCGGATTTCTCCCTAAAGAAAACACCTCCTCAACAGGTCGTCAAAATATTCTCTTCAACAGGGTTTATTTACCCAACAAACTGTAAATTACCCAGCTTGAGTTTGTTTCTTAAACGAATACAAATCATTGGACGAAACTCCTCCCCCCAGTAGACTTTGCCAATATCCCAAGTGAGTTGCTGCAGAGCCTGGAATCTGATCAGATAACAGTTAAACTCTTTATCACCAAGGAGTTGTTAGCTTTCATTCTCTCATATCAAGAGATAACTCCCCAATAGAGAAACAGATAATTAAAACTCATGAACTATTTTCCCTCAAGCAAAACCAATGTCCCCCAGTGCATTTCTCCTCAAACAGCAAAGAAGGAATCCCCGGTGGAAACATTCTAAACAAATAATGAAGAATCATATTCTTCATCCCCAACAACAGTCAGGGATTTATTTTCTCTCATTTCAACGGTGCTACAATGAACAAATGATTATTTCATATGTTGCATTCATACATTACGTTACAAACATCATATCATATGCATAACAAAATACATGTAGCACAATCTCATTTATTTTGAGAACATTATTACATATTGAGTGTCATGCATCATGACATTGCATACAACTATTTCTTTATCTTTTTAGGAAAGATCAACAAACAAATATCACCAACAATTTTCAACAAGTTCCATATTAATACCTGAAACAAGAAAGGACAACCATTTGTGAACAATTGATTATAGATTAATACCTGAAACAAGACAGGACAACTATCTACATTTGCAGATTGAAAATTAACTCCCGAAACAGGACGGAGAAACTATCTTTCTTTCTCTAAGGTCAGATATTAATTCCCAAAACAAGCCAGGGCAACTATCTCTATGACCAACAAAAAAACAAGTTCAAGATTAATACCTGAAACAAGACAGGACAAATATCTGTGAACAACTGATTGTAGATTAATACCTGAAACAAGACAGGACAACTATCTACATTAGCAGATTGAAAATTAACTCCCGAAACAGGACGGGGAAACTATCTTTCTTTCTTTTTGGTTAGGTAAAGATCAATTCCCGAAATAGGACGGGGCGACAATCTTTATCACCAATGGTATTAACTCCCTAAACAGATTGGGTTTACCAACAAATTGATTGTATATCAATTCCCTAAACAAGACGGGGCTACTATCTACATGACAAACACTTCCTTCAAGACATCTACCGTTTCAGTAAGAATCGACCAAAGATTTATTCTAATACTTCTTCCAATTCCTACCAACAATCACTCTGGATGTTATCTGTAAGCCCATATCCGACAACTCTCCATCATCTCTCCAAATGGCATCTATAAGCCCATTCCAAATTCAACACATCATCGAGTGCAAATTTCTGGGGACTTTAGTGTTCAAGCATTTTCACCTTCAAGTCACGAAAGGCAGATCTGCCAATCTCACTCTTCAGGTTCAAGAAGATTGAACAGGGGCAGCTATTCTACCCCAAAATTTTCCCTCTCAATTTCTCAAAGATTCACTCACAAAATTCTCCATTGCTCAAAATTGCATAAGGTTTGCCCTCCTAATTTCTTTTATTTTGGCTTAGACTTTTGTATTCATCTGCATCTATTTCATTAGGTCACTAACATGGCATACATTTCATTCAATATAGCTCTTTGGTTCAAGGTTCAGTGGTTATGCGATATTAGGGTTTCACAGTGGTTAAGGCGCTCGTATCCAATAAAGGATGATTTCTTATTCAGGCAGCGAGCTGTGGAATTAGGGTTTTGGTTCATTCTCATTTTTTGGACTTCCTATCCCTTAAGCAGCAAGGCTATTATTTTCTGATAAACAACATGCTTAATGACTTTGACATGGCATTCATCCACTCTTCAATTAACCAATTCAGGTTTTTTCGAATCATGGTTCAGAGAATCATTGGTTGTGAAGCTCGGGTTTTCTTTTGGTTCGGAGTGTTTATCAAACAAGACTGATTCTTCTGGTGCATTGAATTGTGAATTTAGGGTTTTTGATTGACGGTTGTTGTGGATTTCTTATTTATCAAGCTACGAGGTTATTCTCTTCATCTCGAAATCAAGTTGCAAGGTTTTATTTGTTAAAGTCTGAAGACTTGATTTTATTTCTTTATGTTTATTGGAAGATCATGCTTTGTTTCATTTCGAAGACATTTTGAACATTATTCTATCCATGTCTCAAGTCGTCACTGTGCACCTAATACAAGCAGGTTAAGGTTTCGCATTTTGTGTGTGAGTTTGTTGATGTTCATTAATGAGGAATGATTAGAGGATATCCTTATAAGCTTCAAATTTTATCTTCTTTAAGGATCCCACAAAGGCATTTTTTGGCAAACAAAGGACTTGTGGGGTTGAATTGAAAAGTATGAGGTCATGGAATAAGGAATGGTACCATAGATTCATGTTAATCAAGGCCATTTTTTTTCTCATCATCGTTAGTTTTTGCTCACAATACAAGTCAATATGGATTAATAGTTTTAAGGATATCTTGGTTATACTTCTTCCATATTTCCATCTTCGTTATCAGTTCCTCAAAACATTATATTTGTGTGAGAATGAGCTTCAGTTTTGTTCAATAATTTGATTCAAGCAGAATTGGAAGATTCCAACGAGACTTCGTGGATGAAAACCAAGTTAACTCTTGTGGACTAAATTATTCCATATTTCGTGATTTATAGGTTATTTAAAAATTATTGGATATACTTGACATCTAAAGATATTTTAAGATATGAGAAAGCATATGTGAAATCAAAGGTTTGAATGAAAAAAAAATAAGTTTCATTACTATCATTGCATATTTGTTCGAAATTACCGCACTCTATTAAGAAAACAAGTCATGACATTAGATCGACTGTTTTGTCTTCGGTAAGAGATAAGCATGACGAATTCATGCTGAGGGAGCTTGTCCAGAGATGGGTAAACCATAAGGTGTTGGTTAGGTGGCTTTCACGCTTTTTCCATTATCTTGATCGCCACTTTGAGGCGCGACGCTCCCTGCCTCCACTCAATGAAGTTGGGTTCTATGCCTTCCGTGATTTGGTTTACATGGAGGTGCGAGCTAATGCTAGTAAAGCTGTGATTACTATTGTTGACAAAGAACGCGAGGGCGAACAAATTGATAGATCGTTGTTGAAAAATATTCTTGATATATTTGTCAAGATCTGTATGGGTGATATGAAGCATTATGAAAATAATTTTGAGGTCCAGATGCTTGAGGATACTGCCGATTACTACAGAAGTAAGGCTACAATCTGGATTGAGTCCGACTCCTTCCCAGATTACATGCTAAAGGCTGAGGATTGTTTGAGGCGAGAGAAAGAGATAGTGTCTCGTTATTTGCATGCTAGCACTGAGCAGAAACTGGTAGAGAAAGTGCAACATGAATTGCTGGTAAACCGTGCTAATCAATTACTCGAGAAGGAGCATTCGGGATGCCGTGCCTTACTTAGAGATGATAAGGTGGATGATCTCTCTAGGATGTATAGACGTAACCATAAAATACCTAAAGGACTGGATCCTGTTGCCAATGTATTCAAGCAGCATATTACAGATGAGGGTACAACTCTAGTTCAACTGGCTGAAGAAAGTTCTTGCAATCAAAAAAACTACAAGCGGTTCTGGCGTTCAGGATCAAGTCCTTGTCAGAAAATTCATAGAGCTCCATGACAAGTATATGGCATACGTTAATAATTGCTTTATGAATCACACACTGTTCCACAAGGCATTGAAGGAAGCATTTGAGGTATTCTGCAATAAAACTGTTTCCGGTAGTTCCAGTGCAGAGCTATTATCTTCATTCTATGATAATATCCTTAAAAAGGTGGAAGTGAGAAGCTGAATGATGAAGCCGTTAAAGAAACACTCGAGAAGGTAGTCAAGCTGCTTGCATATATCAGTGACAAGGATCTCTTTGCAAAATTTTACAGGAAGAAGCTTGCCCGAAGATTACTTTTCGACAGAAGTGCCAATGATGACCATGAGAAGTGTATTTTGACTAAGTGAAAGCAGCAATGTGGTGGCCAGTCCACATCAAAGATGGAGGGAATGGTGGCAGAGTTGACATTGGCTAGGGACCATCAGATGAAATTTCAAGAATACCTTAGTGAGAATTCTCATATAAATCCTGGACTTGACTTGACCATTACGGTTCTTGCCACGGGATTTTGGCCGAGTTGTAAGTCTTTTGATCTCAACCTCCCTTCAGAGATAGTGAAGTCTGTGGAAGTTTTCAAGGGCTTTTATGAGACAAGGACAAAACACAGAAAACTTTCATGGATTTACTCACTGGGGACTTGCAACATCATTGGCAGGTTTGAACCAAAAACCATTGAGTTAATTGTCTCAACCTATCAGGCTGCTGCCCTGCTATTATTCAACACTGTGGATAAGTTGAGTTACTCAGAGATTATGACTCAGCTGAATTTGACTCACGATGAACTAGTTAGATCGCTTCATTCTCTGGCAGGTGCAAAATATAAGATATTTGTTAAGGATCCTAACACTAAAACAATATCCCCAAATGACAGCTTTATGTTCAATTCCAAATTTACTGATAAAAAGAGAAGGATTACAAAAACTGCATATAGTTATTTCTTTGAAGCTTTTGAGTCTTTCAATGCTCTTGAAGATCCCAAAGTTGTCTTTAGCCTAAAATACATGTTGCTGTGTAAGATCATGGTTAGTCAAGCTGATGATGTTGCTGGAATCATATCTTCTAAAGCCGGCCTGCAGTATGTTGAACCTGACTTGGATGCGATGAAAGCTGTTGCAGATGCTCATTCCAAAAGATCCCTGAAATTATTTGAAACTGCTTTACGAGACTTCAAGGTGCAGTTGGAGGAAGATCCAATTGTTCATAGGCACTTGTCATCGTTGTATGACACCCTTTTGGAGCAGAATCTCTGCAGGTTGATTAAACCATTTTCAAGGGTTGAGATTGCACATATTGCTGAACTTATTGAGCTTCCCATTAATCACGTGGAGTGGAAGATGTCTCAGATGATTTTGGACAAGAAATTCGTCGGGACATTGGATCAGGGTGCTGGATGTCTTGTTATCATTTGATTACCTGTCCACAGATGCAGGTGGTACCGAGTTGTTTCTGATAGGGAAGAGCATGGAACGCCTTGCCACAGGTGGTTACGAAAACAAGTCATTTAGATTAGCGGCCACACCCTAATCGTTGAAGATGTCACGGGAACTGTTCATGCCCAAGGTTTGGGTACACTTGGGAGTGTCGTAATAATTAATGATGACGATGACGACGATACTCCACCTGCTCTGACTCATACTTTGTCTGACAGTAGTATAATACCTAATGCTCCTAACTTTGATAACTCACCAGATAGTGGCAATGACATAGAAGAAGAAATGATTCGTGCAGCCACTGAGGCATCCAAACGGAAGGCTGAGGAAAATTACAGCAATCACGAACTTGGAAGACAAGTTAACTTAAGTGAATCTGGGCCTAACCCAAGGCAAACATTTGTGGAAGATCCTAGGCTTGCCCATGCAATTTCATTGTCCCTGAAGACAACAGAACAAGAAAAATCACGGCGTGTACAAGAAGGTGATATTGGAGCACATTCAGCAGGACCATCTAAGGCACCATCAGTTGAATTAAGGGAAGTATCTTCAAATGGGAGATTGCAAGCAGGAAGCTTATCCTATAAAGAGGAAGATAGATACATATGTGGATTATGTGCAGCAGTTTGGTTTGTTTCATCCCGCACCTGAGTTGGCAAGACTACACCCGGGTACTCGGAAGCAGAGAGAACTTGTGGAGTCTTACAATGCTGATTTGCAAAGAAACGCTTGTCAAGAAAGTGACAGGGTTTACACAAACGCTAGCAATCAACACAAGACTAAGCTTGGTGGGAAACCTGAAACTTCAAAACGGAAATTTATCTAATCAGAATAAAGAGGTGGTACAAGTTGAATTAACTGACAAATAGTATCCTAATATGCAATTTTTGGATGTTCCTTTGTCAAAGCAGCTGGCTGCTGGAAGGATTGTTTATAGGACAGAAGCTTAAAGAACGGGAAACAGAAGATTAATAAACAGCTCATCAATTTCCTCCTAACAATTTTATAACTCTCTAACTACCTCCAAACAGAATTCCCAACTAGCATAACCACCTTGTAACAAACTCTCAATCTCACCCTTCAATCTCTAACAAACTCTACCCAAATCAATGGTTCGGATCGATTCACACATAACCATTTCCATCTCCCTCAACTACCTATATAATCCAAACTCCCTCCAAGTTTCAAAGAACGAAGTCACTCTCTTTTTTCCAGTTTCAAAACTTCATCATTGTATCAGCTTCAAAACAACTTCTTCCCTCTCCATCATTCACGCTCAATTTTTATGAACTCTCAAAATCTTCAATTTCCCCTCTCTAAACTCCGTCTTCACCTCCACTCTCCATTGTTCGACCTTCATCCAGTTCTCAAAGATTCACCTCTCTCTGATTCATCATACAGAGCTCATTTTTCTCAACTTGCTATAATCTTCATAATTGTCATCATTTCCGCTCTTCTCCTATCGCCAACGCACGCAACCCCCAGACCAAAGAAAAGTGAAGACAGTGATGAGAGGATCAAGACGAAGCAGACAAGATCAAGAAGGACAATAATTGTATTACTTCATCTCTGGATTTCTAAAGCACTACCAACGTGTCTTCAATAGGTAACCCTCAATCTTCTTCTGTTTATGACTTTTTGCTTGGTCTGTACCATAACCGCGAAGGGTAAAATACGGCGAACGATAAATCCACCATGTAATCTTTATCGGAAGAAATGTGGAGCTTAAGTTTCATTGTTAGATTCGGGATAGAGGAAGAAAAATTGACGAAAGCAAGCAAAGGAGTCAAATTCAGAGGGAGACTTTAGGTGGTGTTAACAAGAAAGTTGAATCAGAACAGGGGAGAAGGGATGGAGTCATGGCGGCATCGCCATTGTTGTTTTCGAATGTAGAAGAAAGGCTTTCTGCGTAAAGGAGCTTGAGGGGGCCGTTTACGGTAAACGCCGTCGTTTTGGAATTTTTTTCTTTTCTCCTTTTGTTATTATTCATTTGTTTAATGGTTATTTCAAATGGTTAAATCAAAAAAAAGAAAGAGGAGAACTTATTATTATTTTGCCTTTAAGAATTAATTCCTGATTATTCGATTACTCGAAACTGGTAATTCACTTTGTTCGTCAAGATTCGAGTCTTATGCAGGTTTTTATATGGATACGCTCGAGATGCCGATTATGATTTATTTTCACATTAAAAGATGCTTCAATAATCATTCTGAATATGGGATTTCTGACTTCTTTGTTGATGGTAACAGCTCACGAGATTGTCAAGTATCTTTGTTTTTTTTCTGCTTTGCTCTACGGGCTAGTATTCATTTGGTATATTTTCTTTCTATGTTTACCTCGCATTTATCTTTTCCCATAGATCATATGAAGTATGATAGAATCAGGTTTAGGCTAATCTCCCTATAACTTTTCTTCCCCTTTTTCATACGCATCTAAAACTAAAACTCTTTTTTTACGAACTTCAAAAATACATAAAAATTTACTGACAAGAACCATGTCTGGGCTAAGTTTGAGAGATGATAAGCGGGTTTCTTCTCGACCTTATTATTCTCTTGTTCTAAGCTTTGGTATGATTCAAGTCTCAAAGAATCATTCCATGAATAAGTAGAGACATGGCTAAAGTCTCTCTCTTGAGATTAACTAGCTATTATCTACAAGCAAAAATATCAACCAACACAAAATTCTTTTGCCTTCGGGCCTTCCTTTCAAAATTTCTTTTAGAAAGAACATGTTAATTCACTTCTGTGCTGATGCATAAATCTCCAAAGGTCGAGTTGCGACAGAAGGCGAAATTAATATTGTTCATTGAAAAATACAAATCAACAAAAAACATAAACCGAACTACGACTGCTCTGATTCCTTAGAAGGGATACGTAGGCATTGGGGTAGGGCCCGAACGAGCACAACTTTTATTTTCCATACATTCTTCTCTCTTTTCTTTTACATGCATTCTCCCCTTAGCGATAATAAACCGTAAGCATAGATTAAACACACCCATAAGATAGACAACAAGAGTGGATACCATAGAGTACTACGGGCGTGTGGGGTGCTAATACCTTCCCCTCGCGTAACAGACTCCCTTACCCTTATCTCTTGGTCGTTCGACCCTGATTTCACCCCTCTCAGGTTTTCTCGATGTTTACCTTTCCCTACCTGTGGGATAAAAGACGTTCGATGGCGACTTCATTGTTTGATGATTTTCAGCCGGTTGTTTCAGCTGGCGACTTCACTGGGGATAAGGTCGACCAAATGCTGGTCCATCCCGGAGTCGCTCCTAGCTTTTGCTTTCTTTTCTTTGGGTGTTTATTTTCTTGCATTCAGTTTACTCATTTGTACATTTTTGCCTGAGCATAAGTTTGCATTGCATTTTATTGCTTTCCTTATTTGTTATCTATTATACTGGACTCTGTTTTCCATGTTGGGTGGGGATGTCACCATTGAGGTAAAAGGCCCAGTACCCAGGCCAAAGTGCACTAGGACACTAGGAATAGAGTGGGGGCATGACGGCTATAGGACATGGTCCGATTAGTGCAGTCTTGTCATATACCACGCTCGGATGAGGTTCAAATGAATTACTATCG